TTATCGTTACGTTGGGGTATCCAATGTACTATGTAGATCAAATATGGGGTGTTATCTATTAAAACTTGCCCCGTATTGATATAAATTTTTAAGGCGTAACGGTAAATGGAAAAAAAGCATCATTATGGCTAAACGTATTGCAATTATAGGTGCAGGTAAGCAAGATATTTCTAAAATTTTTAAAAGTATTTGAGCATTAAAAAAATTTAAAATTTTCAAGATAAAAGATTTAATAATATCTATTATCAGGAATCTCAGGTTTAACAGCAATAAAGCAATGTCTAGATAATGACTTAATTCCAATTTGTTTTGAACAATATTCTTTTATCGGTGGAATATGGAAATATGAAGATGCTTACGAAAAAAACAAAGATCCTTATTCTTCTGTTTATAAAGGCATTCTAACCAATACATCTAAGGAACTTGTTAGTATTAATTTAATCCTTAGAATAATTCAAGTTGAATCTATAAGTAATCTATTTAATTAATTGTTGAATCTGAAATAGACAACGTTTTCTGATTTTCCGATTCCGGCAGACTGGCCAACTTATTTGAATCATTCACAAGTAGAAAAGTAATCTTTTTCAGTAAACTTATGTAAACCTGTTTTTTTTTTTTTAATTGACAATTTTTATGATTTTTTTTTTATTTTTTGTCGAAAATAGGTACATTGACATGTACGCTGAAAATTTTAATCTTTTGCCTCACATTAAATTTAATACTACTGTGTTAAAGATATCAATACTTCCCGATAAACGTTGGAATGTTAAATACATTATTCAAGGTGAAAATGAAGAAAAAGAGGAAATTTTTGATTTCGTAATAGTTGGCACCGGCAGACATCGCAAACCTAAATGGCCTGAATTTAAAGGAATGAACTCATTTAAGGGTGAACAAATACATTCTTATATGTATAAACGGTGTGTTGATTTATTCTATATATATATATATATATATATATATATATATATATGTATATATCATCAACATTATTACTAATACGTATCATATTTTTAGAGCTACAGATTTTGAAAATAAACGTGTTTTGGTGGTTGGTTGCTCTAATAGGTATGAATATAAACAAAGTTACGTACAGTAATGGTAAATTTCTTATAAAAATCTTATTCACACTAATTAATTTAGTGCATGGGATGTCGTGGTTGAATTAACTCATGCCGCGTCCCAAGTTTATGTAAGCACTCGCAGAGGTAAATTTTGCATTCATATTTATTTTAGGTCCTTATAATTTTATATATATCGATTTTTTTTTTATTGTTTTACAGAAAAACTTCCATGGATAGTACCACGCTTCATAAATGGTAAAGCGTACGACCATATTCCATCTCGTTTCTCGCAATATATAATTCCACCCTTTATTAGAGGAAAAATAATTGAAAATTATATAATTAAATCCTTTCCATATCCTCCTCATCTCACACCTAATGACCCTATAATTGCTACATTTCCTATTATAAATTTTGAAATTTTTCAATTCCTTGCAGCTGGTACAGTTATTGTGAAACCGAATATTAAAGAACTTAAATCTGAAAATAATCAAATCGAATTTATTGATGGAACTGTCTTGGAAAATATTGATGTTGTTATTTATGCTACTGGTTATGATATTGATTATCCATTTTTAGAAAATCATGTTTTTACTGGTGGGGATGAAATTATTCAAGAGTTTAGAAATGATTTTTATAATTTAGTTTGGTTGTATAAATCAATTTATCCTCCAAAGTACCCTAATATTGCTTTCCTTGGATTGTCATCAGGAGCTCCTATTTTGCCGATCAGGTAAGCTCTGAATTTAAAAATGTTAATTTTGTTTGTTCGGTTATTTTTTTTTATATGGTAATTACTATAAATTTCTTTTATAAAGTGAAATGCAAGCACGTCACGTAATCAGTTATATTAAAGGATTTATCAAGCCACTCCCATCTCAATATGAAATGGAAAAATCTATACGTAATAATTATGAAATTATTCGTAAAAATTCTTGCAAACATGCTCGTAGCGCTATTCGTCAAGATTATCTATCTGATTTGGATGCATTGAGCAAAGAAGTTGGTTGTTATCCTTATTCTTATGAGATAATTAAGAAGTTTGGCTTTAGTTTTTGGAAATTAATTATGTTTGGCATAGCTACTCCTGTTCAAGTACGTAATATATAGTTATTGGGTACGAAGCAGCCAATAATGAGAATTATTTGTAAAATAATTCATTATCCGGCTGTGAAATTAATATGTCAGCTTCTGGGTCCCGAAGGGGCCCAGAAATGACACATATTAAATTCGCTGCCAGATAAACAAGTTATTGGTTGCGTAGCGTACAATAACGGTGTTATCCGGTGGTTTGCGACGATTGTGCTTACTAAATGACTCGAGTTTTTGCCAATGATTACGTAAACTGCCAAATAACGAAGTTATTTGGCAGGTGACGTAACCATTGTCAAATAACTCGAGTTATTCGACATTTCATATGATCATGTGAATTTTTTTGCCATGATATTTTTTACATGAAATTACGTAATCAGTTTTGCAAAATATCACAGAAAAAACTTCACATGGTCATATTAACTATCCAATAATGTACACTTATTTGGCAAGCACTATCATAGTAAGCTGCCGGATAATTTCTTTTATTTACTAACAAAAATGTTATTTTATTTTACATTTTATTTTACATTTTATTTTACTCGTGGATTTTATAATAGTATCGGCTACTAGGAAGGAATTCTTGGGAAGGTGCAAGAGAAGCTATTCTGCTTTATAACAAAAATAGTTTTAAACCTATTGCTAAAAGATCAAAAATCTATAATTTATTGATTTATATCCTTATTATTTTATTAATATTGTTAAAGCGAAATGGTGGTTTTACAAAAATATTTAATAATGTAATTTGGAAAATTTTAAATAGATAATATAGAATTGTTACTTGGAGTGTATAGGCACGTGCTATGGTTCAGCATAGTTTTTAAATTTAATCAATTAGTTTTATTTACGTACTCTAAAGATGTATTAAACAATACTGTACACCAGATTGAGAAGTTATGTATAGAATTCGTGTAATTACTACTAAATTACTACTAAAAAACACTAATACATTACACAAATATTGCGCAAGTACGTACGTACGTATAAATATGTAGTTTAGTTGCTTAGTCATTATACGGGGTGTAGAAATTTCGTACTGTATTTTGTTATTGAACGTACTGTACTGTATATAAATATAGGCGTACTATAATGT